ATCCCAGTTACTCAGGAGGGTGAGGCAGGAGAATCAATCGCTTGAACCCCAGAAGCGGAGGTTGCAGTGAGCTGAGACTATACCATTGCACTGCAGCCTGGGGGACAGAGCAAGACTCTGTCTCAGAAAAAGAAGAGAGAAGGGACACCAGGATGTGCCTGCAGAGAAAAGGCCACATAAGGACAGAGAGAGAAGGCAGCCAGTTCTCTGCAAGCCAAGGAAAGACACCTCACCAGAAATCCGCCCTGCTGGCACCTTGATCTTGGCCTTTCAGCCTCCAAAACTGTGAGAAAATAAGTTTTTGTTTTTGTTTTCATTTTTGAGACAGAGTCTTGTTCTGTCGCCCAGGCTGGAGTGTAGTGGTGCAATCTCAGCTCACTGCAGCATCTGTCTCCTAGATTCAAGCAATTCTCCTGCCTATGCCTCCTGAGTAGCCAGGATTACAGGTGCCCACCACCACGCTCTGCTAATTTTTTCTATTTTGAGTAGAGACGGGGTTTCACCATCTTGGCTAGGCTGGTTTTGAACTCCTGATCTCAAGCTATCCGCCCACCTCGGCCTCCCAAAGTGCTAGGATTACAGGCAGGAGCCACCATGCCGGGCGGAGAAAATAAGTTTTTGCTGTTGAAGCCACCCTATCTGTGGCCCCTTGTTAGGTAGCCCAAGCAAACCCCCTGGACACCCAGATGGACCCACTCTTCCTACTTCTCTTGCACGTGACACAGGAGGTGACAGCAGGATGGGGAAACGCAATTTAAAACCACCTTCCTCAAAATTTCTAGGATTGCTGACCCCTCATCTGTGCTAGATGACACCCAGGGTAGACAACAGCACTGTCCTTGAAGACTTCTTAAAGGTACAGGCACCACAGAAAACAGAACCCTCCCAAGCCACACCCCAGCCACCCACACACAATCCTAACCACAGACCACGTCTCTTTCAAGTGTCAAGGGTCAAATGCAGACATGGTGACATTTCTTTCTTCAGAGATTCCAAGATGTAAGCTCTGGATATGTCCCGAACTTGCTCAAGATGCCAAATAATAAAACGATTTAGTTTCTAAAAAATTGTATGAGTCAAAACAAGGAAAACAATCTATGCCTCAGTCACTGGCTAAACTGGAGTGTGTTTAAGGGTATGTAATCAGCAAAAATACACAGGCAGGGCCAGCGACTTCCTCACAGACAGAAAGCGGCTAAGGGAGACCCAGACACCATGCTCTAAGGAGGCCTGAGAAGCGGCTGACAAACCAAACCATGTATCTCAGATGCCGGGACCTCACCCCCAGCCACAGGAACTCTTGGGAAACAGAATGCCAGACACCTGCTGGGGCACACAGGGATGCCTGCAGCCCTACATAGGGTGTCTACAAAGGTGAGGGCTGGAAGGTGTGATCTCAGGAGCTGCTGTCCTTTAAAAAAAAATGCCCATAAGTCAAAAACGCAGTGTTCTTTACAATAGCTGTGCCTCACAGCCAGAGTAAAGTCTTGTTCATCTACACCAAGGTGCAGCCCGCACGGAGACAGAATCGTAGGTGCTGGAAAGGTGATGAGGCGTTAGAACCCAGCAAGTCACAAAGTGGCTTCTTTTTCCCATCTTCAGTCCGTTCCATTACTTTCAGTTCAGCATCAGGATATCCTCAAGGCTTTTTTTTTTTTTTTTTTTTTTGGGAGACAGAGTCTTGCTCTGTCACTCAGGCTGGAGTGCAGTGGCGCGATCTCGGCTCACTGCAAACTCCACCTCCCGGGTTCAAGCGATTCTCCTGCCTCAGCCTCCTGAGTAGCTGGGATTACAGGCGCATGCCACCACACCCAGCTAAATTTTGTATTTTTAGTAGAGACGGGGGTTTCATCATGTTGGTCAGGCTGGTCTTGAACTCCTGACCTCGTGATCCGCCCACCTTGGTCTCCCAAAGTGCTGGAATTACAGGCGTGCGCCACCACACCCAGCTCCTCAACACCTTTCTAATGAGACTTGCTGACCTCTCTCTTTTTTCCCTTTGGCTTATGAAAATTTATTTCTACTGTTTTTTTGACCACCAAAATATATTATCTTGGTCTCTCCTTCTTGCCTTGGACCAAGGGAGAGACACTGACTACTCTGACAACCTTAAAGGGGACCCCAGGGATGTCACCAACAGCATGACCTTTGCGACCAAATCCAGCAATCAGAACTTTATTGGGGGTTTTTTCCCTAAATTGTTTTTTCCCCTAAATTTTTATTTTAACTTTTTTTTTTGAGACACAGTCTCACTCTGGTGCCCAGGCTGGAATGCAATGGTGCCCTCTCGTCTCACTGCAACCTCTGCCTCTTGGGTTCAAGCGATTCTCTTGCCTTGGCCTCCTGAGTAGCTGAGACTACAGGCATGTTCCACCATGCTTGGCTACAGAAGTTCATTGTTTTCCTCAACTGAAGTCAAGCAGTCATCACTGGGTACAGAAGCTGTGATTTCTTGGCCAGTGGGTCCATAAAGCATGGCCTGATGGCAGGATTTGGCTGTTTTGTCTTAAGCCCTATTTTTCCAGCACAATTCCCTTTTGGAGAAGCACTTCCGAAAGGGCTGAGCACAGGAGCTGCACCCGAATGGGTTTTCCCGCACTGCTGATCACACCACTTCTGGTCTTTCTGGTGGCTACAGAGCTTCCCGGAAGTATGAAGACTGAGATACTTGCCACAGGCCGTGGCCAAAAAGCAGCAGCACCCGGCCCTCTTATGAACAATAAAAGCGGATCTCAGTCAGAACCCACAACAGGCAACCACAGCCAGGCACACTTATAAGAGTTTCCTTCCATTGTCTTCATTTTACAGTGACCAGCTATTTCAGTCAACTCATACTGGTTCTCAATTTGCAGTAATGAGATGAAGTTTCCTTTTTCAAAAAATAAAGGCATTCAAGTTTGTTTAAGTGTATCATCGAAAGTAAACTATAGTAGACAAGGCGTGGTGGCTCACGCCTGGCATCCCAGCGCTTTGGGAAGCTAAGTCGGGTGGATCACTTTAGCCCAGGAGTTCAGGACCAGTCTGGGCAACATAGTGAGACTTACCTCTACAAATAAGTAAATAAATAAAATGGATAATAAAGTAAACTATAGGGTAAGTAACAGTGCTGTGGTAAACAAAAGACAAGGGAAAAGCAGCCAGCTACATACTCACCCACCCTGTGTCCCACGGACCAAATGAACACCTGCTCAGCCAAGTTCAGGGCTGAGGAGCGCCACGGTAAACCACACATACTCATTAGATAAAAAGTGCAGCCAGCCATTCCCATGCAGCCTCATAGTGTCTGCTCACTTCCTGCTTCACTCTTGAATCAGATAATGCTGGGTGCCTCCCAAACTCCTTCTTCCTTAGCAACAAAAACTAATTTCCTTTTCATCAGGAACAACTGCCCCCTCTGCAGCCAAAGGAGGCCATGAAATGAATGCTGGCCCAAAACATGAGTGTGATACCGTGAGCACCTTCTGGTGGAGGTGGGGGCTGCCATTGTTTTTGTACCAACAGCCCATTCTGCAGTCTAGGAACGACCATGGGCTCCTTTTCAGGAAAATGTATTAAAATATATAAAACATACAATATCACAAAGCAAACCAATTCTATCACAACAGAATCGTCATAACTGAGGGTCAGGCACAGTGGCTCACGCCTGTAATCCCAGCACTTTGGGAGCCAAGGTGGGTGGATCACGAGGTTAGGAGTTTACAACCAGCCTGGCCAAAATTTTGGTGAAACCCTGTCTCACCATTAAAATACAAATATTAGCTGGGGCGTGGTGGCATGCGCCTGTAATCCCCAGTACTTGGGAGGCTGAGGCAGAGAATGGCTTAAACCCGGGGGGCAGAGGTTGCAGTGAGCCAAGATTGCACCACTGCACTCACACTCCAGCCTGGGCGACAGAGCAAGACTCCATCTCATAATTTTTTTTTAAAATGGTCATAACTGAAGAAAATATGTTTCACTCAGAGCTAAATGAAAAGCATTGTCATTTTTTCCCTATCCAAGCTCAGGCCCCAGAATCCTATATGTAGAAACAGAGGAAGTCTCTCCTTTGCCCTCTCCTCTTTCCTCACACCTGGAATGAGAATGAAATGGCTGAAGCTAAAATGACTATGTTGGTCTACGACGCAAGACAGGAGGAGTCCCAGTCTCTGATCACCATGGAGCCACATGCCAGCCCCAGCCTTCCTACCACTGGGTAGAGATAAATTTCCATCATATATCTCTAAACCACAAGAACTTCAAGAAGAGTATATCTGAATGGTTTTGTATACAAAGATTAAACCAACTGTCGGTTCATATAACAGTGTCTGCTCACTTCCTGCTCCATCCTTGAATTAGAGAATGCTGAGTGTCTCCCAAACTCCTTCTTCCTTCCCTAGCAACAAAAACTTTTTTTTTTTTAAATTGGGAACAACTGCCCCCTCTGCAGCCAGGGGAGGCCATGGGACAAATGCTGGCCCAAGACATGGGTGGGGTACGAGGAGCACCCACTGGTTTACATAATAGTTGGTTTATTCTTTGTTATACAAAGCCATTCAAACCGAGTCTTCCTTGCTATACTTCTCATGCCTTTTCTAGGTGGTGAAGTTGAAAACAGTTAAAGCCTGATCATTAGCAACGTTTAATTATCTTGGAGAGACACATTCTTCTCTCCAAGGTACAAAAATGAGTTCTCCAGAGTTACAAAGGAAATCCAACTAGAACAGATCCTCTGTAGCTAACTGCGTATGGGAGGCAAACCCTGAAACCTGGAACCACAGAATTCTATGGCAAAGCTGCTCCACCCCGAAGCATGCCATTTAGCACACACATAGGCCCAAGCACCATGTGCTAGCCATGGTTGTGGAAATCCACAAGCGCACACCACACCTCCAGTCTACAGCTGGGGACATACACACCTGACTTTAACCACAGTCACATGGCTACAAACCCAAAGGCACTGCCATGAGGCATGCGCCAAAAGTCATGCCAGAGCTGGTGGAGGTGGCTGAGAAAGTACTTACTAATCGTCATGGACTCCGGCACTGAGGCAGAAGGTAACAGGCTGCTCAGAGGACTTCCTTGGCCTGGAGAGCTAGCTTCCACACTAGGAAAAAGCAGGCGGGAGGAAGTTATACTCAGCCCCTGAAAGTACACAACCTCGCCATTCCAAAAACTTGCAGAGGTCAGTTTACTCCAGTACCTCTACTAGAAGCTCTAGGACAGAAGCAGTCATTGGAAATGAGTCAGACCTCATTAACTGAAGATTCCGTATGTGGAAAATCATCTACCCACTGAAATGTATTTGTAACCCCAGAGTCAATACTCAAAGTGCTGTCACAATCATTCATGAACATGTGCAGAGGCCAATAATTTTAGTCCCTAATGTGCATGTTCCCAGCTGACGTCGAACAGCTAGAACCTCAGATCTTACACCTTAAACAAGCATTCTCTTTGCAGTCTATTTACTGCCATCTTTTCAGCATTTTTTTTTTTTTTCACTTTTCTTTTTTTTGCGCAATCTCAGCTCACTGCAACCTCTACCTCCCGGTTTCAAGTGATTCTCCTGCCTCAGTCTCCCAAATAGCTGGGATTACAGTCCTATGCCACCACTCCTGGCTAATTTTTGTATTTGTAATAGAGATGGGTTTCACCATGTTGGTCAGGCTGCTCTCAAACTCCAGACCTCCGGTGATCCGCCCACCTCAGCCTCCCAAAGGGCTGGGATTAGAGGCATGAGCCACCATGCCTGGCCTTGTTTTTCACTTTCATTGGTGATTTTGTTGTTTAAAATGTCCCCAGGCAACAGTGCTGAAGTGGCACTGCCTAGCGTTCCTAAGCACAGAAAGGCTGTGATGTACCGCATGGAGATAATCTGTGAGTTAGAGATGCTTCATTCAGGCAATGGGTTACAGTGCTGCTGGCAGTGAGTTCAAGGTTAATGAATCAACCATATACCTTAAACAAGGTGTCTTTAAACAGGAACAGACATAAAACCAGGTTATGTATTAACCAGCTGACAAAAATGCTGTGACCAGGCCGGGCATGGTAGCTCACACCTGTAATCTCACTGCTTTGGGAGGCCAAGGCAGGTGGATCACATGAGGTCAGGAGTTGAAGATCAGCCTGGCCAACATGGCGAAACCCCATCTCTACTAAAAATACAAAAAAATTAGCCAGGCGTGCTGGTGTGTGCCTGTAATTCCAGCTACTCGGGAGGTTGAGGCAAGAGAATTGCTTGAACTCAGGAGGCGGAGGGCGCAATGAGCCAAGATTGAGCCCCAACCTGGGAAACAGAACAGAACTTCATCTCAAAAAAAAAAAAAAGACTAAATCTGAACATAAATGTGAAGTAAGCCCTTGCCCTTTAATCCTAGCAGATGCACTCCTATCTTTAAAAAAGAATAAAATGCACAGCTGTGAATAGGACATTTCAATGCCAAAGGCAGCTGGGTTTCTTAATATTAACCTGTACCGAAGTCCAGAATCCGGGAGAACATGGTCCTCTAGTCCTGTCCCGTTCTCCAGGCTACCGAGGGGGGCATCTGTGCAGAGAGAGCAATCAAAGAAAGAAGGTCACTTTTCTCATTCCATGTTCTCCATAAGACAAAGACACAATGCAGACATTGGCTCATCTGCTATATCAGTTGACTAAGACAGCTTTCTCCATCTCGCCTGCGTGCTGGATTTTAATCAGCTGTTTCCTGTTGTTCAGAGATCATCTCAGTCTTGGCATCAGTCACTGCAGAAATAGAAAGCCCTATACTTGGCTGGGAGTGGTGGCTCACTCCTGCAATCCCAGCGCTTTAGGAGGTCAAGGCAGGTGGATCACCTGAGGTCAGGAGTTCAAGACCAGCGTGGCCAACATGTTGAAACCCCGTCTCTACTAAAAATACAAAAATTAGCGGGACATGTTGGTGCATATCTATAATCGCAGCTACTCAGGAGGCTGAGGCAGGAGAATCGGGTGAACCCTGGATGCAGAGGATGAAGTGACTCAAGATCACGCCATTGTACTCCAGACTCCAGCCTAGGCAATGAGGGCGAAACTCTGTCAAAAATAGAAAATAAAAAAGGCTGGGCACAGTGGCTCACTATAATCCCAGCACTTTGGGAGGCTGAGGAGGGCGGACCATGAGGTCAGGTGTTCGAGACCAGCCTGGCCAACATAGTGAAACCCCATCTGTACCAAAAATACAAAAATTAGTCAGGCATGGTGGTGGGCACTTGTAATCCCAGCTACTCAGGAGGCTGAGGCAGGAGAATCGCTTGAACCTGGGAGGCAGAAATTGCAGTGAGCCGATATTGTGCCACTGCATTCCAGCCCAGGTGACAGTCCAAGACTCCATCTCAAAAAAGAAAAGAAAAGAAAGCCCTATACTACCCCTTAACCTGTGACTTTTTCTTTTTTTTTTTTTTTTTTTTTTTTTTTTTTTTTTTTGAGACAAGGTCTTGCTCTGTCATCCAGGCTAGAGTACAGTGGTGTGATCAAGGTTCACTGCAGCTTCAAACTCTCAGACTCAAGGGGTCCTCCCACCTCAGCCTTTCAAGTACCAGGGACTACAGGGACGTGCCAACACAGCCAGCTAGTTTATTTTTTATTTTTTTGTAGAGATGGGGGTCCCACCACGCTGCCCAGGCTAGTCTGAAACTCCTAGGCTAAAGAAATCCTTCGCCTTGCCCTCCCAAAGTCCTGGGATTACAGATGTGACCAACTATTCCTGGACTGTGACATTTTGGCCTTGAGCCACCTAGAATTATGCATGAAGTCCATATTCAGAACCAACGTCAGAATCAGGGTAAAATAAATCAGCTTGCTGTTAGACAAAACTGCTCCTGCTCGTGCCTCAAGTCAGACACTGGGGGGCACCATGGTCTAATTTCTGACAATGTCTGCGGCTTTCTAAAAAAGCCACTTTTGCCTGCATTAAGTGCATTTAGGAAAGGCATTCACAAGAAGTGGGGCCATAAGTAGTCTCTGGAACTAACAGGCTAGGGACATGAACAATTTTCATAAATGTATTTGCTGCTGTTCCAGTTTCCTTTCAGGAAAACGTGCAAATCCATGAGCTCAGGCTGCATGGTGACATTAAGGCCAGTATCACCCAGGAGAAGCCTTGCTTATTCAAGAAATTTCTTGGCCTGGGCAGTGGCTCATGCCTGTACTCCCAGCACTTCTGGAGATGAGGAAGGTGGATCACTTGAGGTCAGGAGTTCAAGACCAGCCTGGCTAACATGGCGAAACCCTGTCTCTACTAAAAATATAAGAATTAGCTGGGTGAGGTAGCGCGTGCCTGTAATCCCAGCTACTTGGGAGGCTGAGGTAGGAGAATTGCTTGAACCCAGGAGGTGGAGGTTGCAGTAAGCTGAGATTGCATCACTGCACTCCAGCCTGGGTGACAGAGCGAAACTCTGTCTCAAAAATAAAAAAGAAGAAAAAAAAAGAAATTTCTTAATAGTGAATGCCCCCTACAGAACCAGCGCTGCATCAGGGACAAGGAAGATGGCAATGAAGACAGCATGTCTCAATTCCTTCCACATCCATCCTCCACGCCATTCCTTGCGTCTTTGCCTGGCTTATTCATGGCCCCCAAAAAACTCCCAGCTCTTTAAGGGCTGAACTTCAAGGAAACTTACCAGGAAAAAGAAAAAAAATTTTAAGCCTTTTTTTCTACCTTGCTGTCTGCATCAAGTTATTGTGCTGACTCCAAATTCGCAAAAAGTTCAAGTTACTTCACGTCCCCCTTTTCTTGGAGGCAGGGTTTTGCTGTCACCCAGGCTGGAGTACAGTGGCACAATTACAGCTCACTGCAGCCTCTAGCTCCTGGGCTCAAGAGACCCTCTCACTTCAGCCTCTTGAGTAGCTAAGACTACAAGCATGAACCTTCATGCCTGGCTAATTTTTTAATTTTTATTTTTATTTTAGATACAGGGTCTCACTATGTTGCCCAGGCCAATCTCAAGCTCCTGGTCTCAAGCTATCCTCCCACCTCAGACTTCCAAATGTTAAATATTAATGCACGTAAAACTCAATGAGAACGCTCAGTAAAGGTGGCATCAACTCACCCTATAATGGATCCTGGCTATCCCCGGCATTCATCCTCCCACCTGGTTACCTGGAATTGCCCAAGGAACTCCTCCCTCAGTTCCCCACCCCACTAACCCCTCCTACTTGGTGCTCCCCTCTCTCAGCCTTCCTAACACTAATCTTCCACCCTCCTTCCCACCATCTTTTCTCTGATTCCTGAGTGAAGGTGGCCTTGAATCATGGCCCCATGGCCCTCTGTCACCCTCAGCCAATCTGGCAAGGTCTTGGCTACAGCTCTCACTCTGTGAAGATGACAACACTCAAGCCCTCACCTCTGGCCAGGACCTGTCTTGAATCCTAGTCCCACATCTCTAACTGCCTTCTAGAAAGCTCTACCAGGATACCCTGCTGTGCCTACCAAAGGATCCCATCTTAAGTCATACTAGACTACAAGCTCACAAGGGCATGGCACCCACCCTCCATGCCATCACAGAGCTAGGGGATCCAAGACCACTCAGTGCCATGAAACTACCTCCCTCTCTTTGCTCACATGTCCACTGCCCCATGGTTCAAAGGCTTCGAACCACCTAAGGGGCCTTCTAGAGCAGGTGTCCTGAGTTCTGTCTCATCCTTGCTAATCTAACTCATCCAGAGTCAGACCATTCCCTGAGGCAAAGACAGGGACTCCAACACACACAGTGGAAATCCACGGCTAGGGCAAAGGCAGGGATCCACCCAGTATTCCAGACACGACACCCACTTGGACCCAGGTGATTGACCACAGGCCCATTCACAATGCACACCCACGACTGGCTCCCACTTGCAGGCTTGACGCTCTGGGTGCACACATCATAGTCTCATCCTCAAGGCCCCAAAGACAGATACCATTATCTAATTTTACAGATGAGGAAATGAACCTGAAGATTTAAATAACTTGTTCAAGATCACAAAACTAACAAGAACAAAAGTTTGAACCCTGGTCCATCCAATGGCAGAGCTGGGCCCATACCCACTGTAGCATGCAGGCCCACATCCAGCGGGAGAATTGAATTAAGAAGACCAGGAACCCCAAGCAGCATGCGACCAGTATAAGCTGACTGGGAAGCACAGTCACGGGAGTGTCCGGCCAGCCACCACAACACTGACGATCAAAACAGTAAAACTGCCCACTAAGGGCTAAGTGCTAAAACCAGTCACATCAGATCAAGGCAGCGCTACCACAGTCCCTCCTCAGCCTCAACGAGCAACTCCCAAGATCCAACGTGAGGACAAGGAGAAAGAGAACTTTAGACTCAATGGGGAAAAAAGGGTTTGAGAACCCGAGGTTTCAAAGGAACCTAACAAAGACCTTGGAAATTATGCATTTCCTAAAAGCCAACACTAAATACAGGACCCTCAATGGAGAGACGAGCAGTCACATCACCTTGTAGTGAGAGGTGATTTTTCACCCGTTTACTAATCTCACTGGAAAGAAACGTGGGTAGCCCCCTCCCTTGCAGCTGTGAAGCGATGCTGGTCAGTTTGCTTTGCTCAGGTGTAGACATCACGTACTCCCAGAGGAACTGTGCATGGTCCCCAATCCTCATCTGCTCATCTGGGGTCTCCTGTTGCAACCTGGGCTGCTGTACCCTTCTATGAATGTCTCTGTCACCCAAGAAAAGCAACCCCAAAGTGCCTCCCTAAACCACAGAGTTGTCTCTTTCAAGATTCAGGAGAATTCCTTTCAGGGCTCCCACTTCTTTGCTCTTCTCCCTCCCAAGACTCAGCTAGCATCGTCTCCTTCTAGCCAGTGCCTCCATTCCTTGTCCATCGCCCTCCCTTCACCTTCTCTAACTATCCCCCCTGGCAGTGACTGCAAAGGCACCAGCACATTCAAAGGTGACAAAAGTCTCCTAACGCAAGGAGCCCTCCATGTGAGAAGTCTCCCTTAAAAGACGAAGTGGTTCCAGAATGAAAGGGAATGTCAGAATGTTGCTAAGGGAGGAAGACGTCCCTCAGAAGGGACAAGAGGCAGAAACAGAGCAAAAGGAATGGAGTCTCAGGAGAAATGCTGGCAGTGGCCACCTGGGCAGGCAGGCAGTCTTGGCACCACCCGGCCCCACACCTCCCATGGAAATGGGGCATCAGGACAGAAGGGGCTTGATGCAACCTGGTGTTCCAATCAGGCTACCCACTCCCTTGACTCTCAGTCCAACATCCTAACACAGCCCTGGAATAATGTTCCTTCCTATGCCATGTCCTGCCCCTGCACGCAGCTCCCGGGCTGTCCCAGCTCGCAAGCCCTCTGACAGCTTTGTTACTGCAGTGAATGGAAATGCTGGCTGACGCCTGCACACATCATCTCTAGAGAGTGCAACTGACATCAGCTGGAGCTCGGGTCCCATCAGCAGTGAGAAGATGGGAGGAGTCTACAAGCTGACAGCCGGATGTGGGACCACAGGAAATCTGCAAGGACTCAAGAGGCTGATGGAGAGCTACCTTCCCTAGAGGCGCTTGCTAGAGAAAGCCCAGAGTGGGAGGAAGAGCTCTGGGTTCTCTAAGACCAAAGCCCAACATGCATGAAAAAGGTGGCCCAGATGTCTGATGGTTCAGGGGGCCCGGCTAAGACGCAAAGCAGCTGCTGAAACAATCAATCAAACCACCCACTGCAAGCACCTCATGCCCTGCAATAACTCAGGAGCCCACTACAAGGCGCCCTCGGTGGTGAATAGAATAAGGGGAGCAGGAAATTGATTCATGAGAGGAAGGCACACATTCAAAACTCCCCAGGGGTCCTGGACACACCCTGGGACCACCTGCTCTCTCCCAGCCCCCGCCTCTCCTCAAATCACTTGCCTGCATCTACACTGCTGCTAAACAGCAAACAGCAAGGTCACCGTCCCCCTAATCTTTGGCTATTTGGAGCAAGGATGGTCTAGAGATGTAGGACTTCTGTGGCCTGGCCTGCAGACATGAGCTAGGCGTACCAGACTGTCACTTTTAGGGGACCTCAACTGAAACCCAGTGAGAAAGTCCAGTTGGTATGGGAGGTCATGTGACTGAGGCAATGGTATGTGCCAAGAAGGGTGTGAGAATGAACAGGGAGCAAAGATGGACTAGAAAAGGTCAGGTGCAGTGGCTCACGCCTGTAATCCCAGCACTTTAGGAGGCCAAGGAGGGCAGATCACCCGAGGTCAGGAGTTCGAGACCAGCCTGGCCAACATGGGGAAACCCACATCTCTACTAAAAATACAAAAAAAATTAGCCAGGCCTGGTGGCACATGTCTGCAAATTCCAGCTACTCCAAAAGCTGAGGCAAGAGAATCGCTTAAACCCAGAAGGCAGAGGTTACAGTAAGCCAAGATCACGCCACCGCACTCCAGCCTGGGCAACAGAGTGAGACTCCATCTCAAAAAAAAAAGAAGAAGAAGAAGAAGAAGAAGCCAGGCACAGTGGCTCACGCCTGTTAATTCCAGCACTTTGGGAAGCCAAGGCGGGCGGATCACCTGAGGTCGAGATTTCAAGACCAGTCTGACCAGCATGGAGAAACCCTGTCTCTACTAAAAATACAAAATTAGCTGGGCATGGCAGCACATGCCTATGATCCCAGCTACTTGGGAGGCTGAGGCAGGAGAATCGATTGAACCCAAGAGGTGAAAGTTGTGGTGAGCCGAGATCATGCCACTGTACTCCAGGCGGGGCAACAAGAGCAAAACTTAGTCTCAAAAAATAAAAAATTTTAAAAAAATAAGAACAAAAAATAAGACAGACTAAGATAAGAGGAGATGGGCAGACCTCCATCAGGAGGTAGGCGGAGGCCACATGAGAAAGATGGCAGCACCTCACCAAGTCAAGAAAGCCCCCTCCATGCCAACACCCTAGCTCCCAGGCCATGGAGCTCTCACCAGGGGCCTTGGCATGTGACTGGCACTTTCCCCATATTATCTCAGGGCACCTTCCCTGTGGATCTCAGAGGGAGCTGACATAATCACACCCCCACTCTCACAGGGCTGTGGTGAAGAGCAGATGAGTTCATTAGGGTCAGCCATGCCGCAGTGCAGCGCTCCATGGGCTTTGCAAATGCTGGCTCTCATCACTATTATCCCCATTTTCCAGATGAGGACACAGCAACTGACAGACAGGAAGTGTTTAGCCTCATTTTATAGCTAGGAATGCCGACGTTCAGGGCAGTAATGCACTTGGGCTTATATAACTTTCTAGAGCTGGGACTGCATCTGACTGGCCCCTGTCCTTCTGCCAGTGACTGTCCCCGCCCCTTGAGCTAGTTTGAGTAGGTTTCTGCTCCTGCCAAGTGACAGGAAGAGTCTACACCCCAGTTCAGAATTTCAACAGCTTCCTGAGTGACTGGTGGGCTCCAGTCATAATTCCCTAAATCTGGGCCCAGAGAAGGGACATTTGCTTCCTAGAAAAACAAGGAAGCACCTAAGTGGGTCAGGCCAAGTCCTCTCTGACCCAGCATTGCTCTGGGGGCAGGGACAGCAACTGAGCACTTCTCTGAGCCAGATGCTGTGCCAGCTGCATTACACTGCACCCCAGGGGCAAGCTGGGCTCAACCACATCCTCCCCATGGCCTGCACTAGCTAAAGAAAACAGTAACAAAGCACACGGGCACGTGTTCAACCATGTGGAATGGTAGAAAAACGTTTACCCATACCAGAGAAAAAGTTTTTTTTCTTGAAACAGAGTCTCACTCTGTGGCCCAGTGTGGAGTGCAGTGGCATGATCTCGACCCACTACAACCTCCACCTCCAGGGTTCAAGCGATTCTCCTGCCTCAGCCTCCTGAGTAGCTGGGATTACAGGCACCTGCCATTACGGCCAAATAGTTTTTGTATTTTTAGTAGAGATGGGGATTCACCATGTTGGCCAGGCTGGTCTCAAACTCCTGACTTCAGGTGATCCACTCGCCTCGGCTTCACAAAGTGCTGGGATCACAAGCATAAGCCGCCGCGCCCAGCCAAGAAAGAGCTTCTAACCAAGCTACTTCCTAATCCCCAAGCGCTTTTCTGCACAAGGTGCCAGGAACTTCATGGACAGGGGTTCAGTTACCTTTTTGCAGCTCCAAAGAGGCAAAATCGTGGTTCCTCTTTGTGGTCAGCTTTTACACAACCAAGTTCAACAAGCCACTGGAGAGGGAGAAAAACAGGCCTGGGGGCCCTGGCGACTTGCCAGCTGATTCAGCCCAACACTCACTCCACCGATAGCAACTCAGGACACCCAGGTTCAGGTAGAGAAGCCAAGCCCTCTCTCACTTATGAATCTCAATGAGCCCCACCTGGCCCTGAGCCCCCCTGCCTCCTGGCTCCCATTCCTACCTGTCCAAGTAACTCAGATATTCCTGCTGGTTCTGGAAGCCAAAGCTCTGATTGGAGAAAAGGAGTAATCGGGAGACACCCACCTGCTGGGCTGTAGGAGCCCACGCCACTGACAGGGAAGAGGATGTCGGAGTCATTGTGCAGCACCTTCAGCGGAGCCCAGCTGTGCATCTGGGAGAGGCAGGTGTTCCCATCCAGTGGCCTAAGGTGAAAGAACACAGCTACATGACAGGCCAAAGAGCCTGGAGGCCTCATGACTCACCAAGCATCTGCCGGCATCCATGGTGCCCTCCTGAGAACTAACCAGGCCACTGCACAACTGAGAACAGAAAGAAGGAGGTGTGGACCTGGGAGGCGGAGCGTGGAGTCCAGATCCAGACCTCTCGCATTTGTTCTCTCAACCAGTGTTTACTGAGCATCTACTATATGCCAGGCACTTGGCGGCAAAAGAACCAGTGAACAGTGTTGATCCTGCTCTTAGGGAGCTGGCAGTTTGGTGGAGGGCACAGACACGAATCAAATAATCCTCCAAGAAGCTGTAAATGGTAGCTCAGATCGTGGAGGAAGGTCATTCTAGGAAGGTTGAGGAAGGCTGCCTGGAAGATGCAGGGCTTAAGGAGGGAGCTGGAGGAAGCCCAATCCCCCATCTAAGAGGAAGGACAGAGGCTTGAGTGAGGCGACAGCACATGCATCATGTGCCATCTGCTCCAGGTTCCAAAATGACAGCAGCCACTTGACCTGAGACTAGCGTTGCTCTGCCTCACTGCTTCTCAGCCCCTCATGGGTAAAGGAACAGAATCAGACCAGTCATGTCTGGGTCCCTTCCAAGGAAGGGATTTGGCTCAATTATTAACCAGGCTCATATACTCTGTTATATTGTCACCTTACCCACAGAGTACAAAACTCTAACATGTACCATCTTTGTAACGCCAGGCAGTGTGGCTGAGTTTTTTGGGGAGTAAATACCCGCTGCAGCACTTGCCTCTGAGCAATAGAGAAACGTTAATAAATACCAGGAGATAGTTTGTAGTACAGTCATACCCCGGTATCTGCATTACATCGTATCCGCCATTCCGTAAACCCCTTGCAAATCTGAGGATACTTAAAGTCCCTGGTTTGGTTTCTTTTTAGAGTCGGGGTCTTGCTCTGTTGCTCATGCTGGAGTGCAGTGGCACGATCATAGTTCACTGCAACCTTGAGATCCTGGGCTTCGGCGAGCCTCCTGCCTCAGCCTCCCAAGGAATTTGGACTCCAGGCATGAGCCACCATATCCGGCTAATTTTTTGTTTTGTTTTGTTTTGTTTTCTGTGAAGACAGAGTCTCACTATGTTGGCCAGGCTGGTCTCAAAATCATAGGCTCAAATGATCCTCCTGCCTCAGCCTCCCCAGGCGCTAGGATTACAGGCATAAGCCACCTCGCCTGGCCTCAAGTCCCTGATGTAAAATGGTGTATTATCTGCATAAGCACATCCTCTCACATATGTACTCCAAATCATCTCTAGATTGCTTATGATACCTAATAGAATTCAAATTCTATGTAAATAGCTGTTACGCTGTATTTTTATTTGTATTATTTTTATTTTTTTATTCTTTTGTAATATTTTTGATCTGCAGTTGGTTGAAACCATAGAGGTGGAACCCACAGATGCAGCACCTGTGGAGGCAGAGAGCCAACTGCACTCTAGGGTTACAATGTCATTTTGTATCTCAGCAGATAAAGAAGACCAAAGCAGACCATAATCATACCCACCTAGGAAAGGACGGAAAGAGGACAGGGGAGGGAGAGGGATGGGCAGACAGAGGGAGCAGGGGCAAAAGAAGAAAGAGTGTGTGGCTTGTCCAAGGCCATCAGCCCTAAGCAGCAGAACCAAGGCTGTGGGACTGGAGCCCAGGTCTTCCAAATCCAAGTGCACTGGGTCTCTCTCCTGTCCACAAGTGACATTGCTTAGATAGTTTGTCTTTATTTTAGAGCTACTCTAAAATGAACAAATATTGTCTGTAGTAGACTAGAGACATATATATTTGAGGCTTGCGACACACTCTTCTTTGTTGGTGTCTCTTCACAACTCTTTAAAAATCTCACCATCATTCACTGCTTGGGGGCGGATTTGGCCTGCAGGCACGGATTGCCAGCTCCTATTTGAGACGCTTTTCAGGTAGAAGTCTCCTTTCAGCCCTCTCCAACTTTTGGCCAGACATCTGGCACAGAGAGAGAAACGCTGGAGGAAATAATCCTAGCAGAATTTTGCAAGGCATATCATTCAACCATGGCTGTAACAAAATGAGGCTTTCAGACAGCAGGGTGCAGGCAAAAGAAGAGCTGCTCCCGCCTGGGTCCTAACACCAAGCCCAACCTGGGCAGAGTTCTGGGTGAACTTGGCTGTGCCTTGGGAATCTGCCAAGAGGCGCCCTCCTGAGGCTCTGACCCAGCCACTGGGGACCATGGGGCAGGCACCCAGAGGTGGTCAGGGGCGCCCTTTCAGGAGAAGGCAGCAAAAGCAGCCAGTCCCTTCTTGGCCACTCCACTGGCTTGGGGCAGGCGCAATGTTCTGCTGGTTTCTAAGATAATTCTTGACCCTTCCCCACAACATATGCAAGCGCAAGGTCGAGCCAGGCTCCAAGAGGATAAGGTTTCGAACCCAAGAAGTGAGCCTCAAGGACCACCGCCTCAAAATGAATTACATTAAAGACTGCTGCCCAACACAGTAGCTCACACTTGTAATCCCAGTAGTTTGGGAGGCCGAGGGAGAAGGATCACTTGAGCCCAGGAGTTTGAAACCTGCCTGGGCAACGTAACAAGAGCCCTGTCTCTACAAAAAAATTTAAAAATTAGCCAGGTATGGTGTTGCACACTGCAGACCTAGCGACTGGAGGGGCCGAGGTGGGAGGATCTCTTGAGCCTGGAAGGTCAAGGCTGCAGTGAGCCGAGGTCATGCCACTGCCTCCAGCCTGGGCCGCAGAGCAAGACCTTGTCTCCAAAAAAAGAAAATAAAAAAAATAATAATAATAACAGGCCAGGCTCTGTAGCTTATACCTGTAATCCCAGCATTTCGGGAGGCGTAGGTGGGTGGATCACCTGAGGTCAGGAGTTCAAGACCAGCCTGGCCAACATGGTGAAACCCGTCTCTACTAAAAATACAAAAATTAGCTGGGTGTGGTAGTAAGTACCTGCAATCCCAGCTACTTGGGAATGTGAGGCAGAGAATCACTTGAACCCGGGAGGCAAAGATTGCAGTGAGCCAAGATTGTACCACTGGACTCCAGCGTGGGTGACAGACCAAGACTCTGTCTCAAAAAATATCTATGTATATTAACTCATTAGGTCATCTTCATAACACTGGATGCTCTGAAACATAATTTGAGATGTTTTGAGATCCTAAACATTAAAACGTCAAGACTTAAACTACAAAATCTTCCACTGTTAACTGTCTCCCTGTGGCTGCACATTTAGGTCAGCTCCAGTGTTCCGCTTCTCTGAAGAAGGACTTAGGTATGTAGATGGGGCAACTTTTCCCTGAGTCAAGGGTATGTCCTCCAGGCAGCTTCTTGCACTCGGATTGCTAAATCAAGTGGGATGAACATCCTTCAGCTCATGCCAGTTTGTCAAACTGCTTTCCCCCATGGCCATCAACTACTCCAGCTCAACTGCTTCCAGCTGTCTATGAGGGAGGCCCCTGGGCACCACCCCTGCAGCCTCAGTCATCCCACAGACACCGACAGAATGCTATGGGATGTGAGTGGAACTGAAGAGCCACTGACAGCAAGATCTTTCCCTTCCACCAGGGCAGGAACCCAAGGTCTCCACAAATATGATAGGCAAAATATGAGGTCTTGTTTCAGTTTGCATTTCCTTAACTGCTACTGAGATGCAGAATAGCGAGACGCCGTATATGTTTGTAGTCCTTTCTGAATTATGCTTCTCCCTACTTGCCTCCTGGTATCATAGAGCACATATAAAGCGATAGGAAAAGCCCTGTCTGGGCCTGGCCCAGTGGCCCATGCCTGCAATCCCAGTACATTGGGAGGCCAACATGGGAGGATCACTTGAAGCCAGGATGTCAAGAACAATGCCTTGAGGCCAGGCACGGTGGCTCAAGCCTGTAATCCCAGCACTTTGGGAGGCCGAGGCGGGTGGATCACAAGGTCAAGAGATCAAGACCATCCTGGTCAACATGGTGAAACCCCGTCTCTACTAAAA